TCGACACAGCCACCTCTCAAGAGCTATTCATAGCACATGGAGCAATCTCAGCTCAGTAGGGGCCTTCTTTGCCCTGCGTACCTAACCAATACAGGAGATTCCCGTCTTTAATTCAGAGATCATCATCGTCCTTTTCCAATTCGCGAACGACTAGAGTCTCATCATGAGATTCGAAGTGATGGGTCATAAAATGCGCAAAGCTATGCTTGTGAGGCTCAAGGAATACTACGGATACTACGGATACTACGGATACTACAAGCTCACAGAGTCTCAGCCTCAATATTCCAGAATATTGCCGGGCATGGATTATTCTTAAATATAGGATCCAGGATCATATAGCTATACTGTCCCGTCGGCTCCTTCATGCTTACATTGATGTTATCGCGTGCCCGTCCTGCTCGTCCATCCCACGATCCATGTTCGACTTCTGAAGCGGTCCGAGGCTCCAAGGTTATTGTATTTACCATTTACATATTTTGTACTCGGATCAGTTATACGAATCGTTGAGGGTAATGATGATCGGAAAACCCGCACAAGACGTATCAGTTGACGACTGTCAAAAAATAAAAAGATAAAAAATGCCATGATGTATAATTCCAGTACTAAAATTGATGTAAGCTTCTCCCTATGAGTCTATAGTCTATAACCCAATTCCTCAAAACAAAGAAAGAAAAAAAAAGTCTATGATAGAAATTCCCAAGCCAGAAAAGAAAACGCCCCAAAAATGGAAACAAACCCCAGAAGATCTCAAAAGCCCCCAATGTCCTGCCTGTATGCAAAAACCGCCATCATTGCCGTCTAGTTCAGTAATGCAAAGCACTTCCCCCCGAACCCTTCGATGTTGTCGTAGAATGAGACCTAATGCGGCCCCAAACTCGTATACGAAGACATTGTTGAGTTTGTCCGATAAAAGGTTTCGTAATAGACATTCTTAGTAAGTTGTTAGCAGAAGCCCGATCCGCGGCGGGGTTACTCGGGGGAAATAACTGACAGATCGTCATCCAGTCTGACTCATTCCTTATCGGGGCCCGTTTTGTCCCGAGGGTAGGAAACACCCTAGCTAATGTAAACAGTCAGCACTATAAACATCACCCCAGCAGTGTTTGGAGGGGCCTGAGCTTACGATGATGATGAGCTGGATGACGATGAGCCGGATGTCGATGGCGGCGGGGGCGGGGGCGGCGACGGGCCGGACTGGGTCTTGACAGTGGAGCTCCCGGCCGTGGTCTTGGTCTGGGATGAGCCGCCGTCCATGGCAACCGCAACAGCCGCAAGGATAACAACCATTGTGCTTGAGTTTGAGTTTATTTCAAGTTTTGGGTGTTGTATTGGTGGTTGTATTGGGCCTGGTATAGAAGTGAAGTCGCAAGGAGAGATGAAAAGGAAAGAAGATTAGAGCACTGCTGCACTTCACTTAGATGTTTGAGGAGACTGGGTGAATTGAATGATGCTAAACTGAGAATATCGACACGAAGCTCGTGGGCTCAACCAACTTATTATATTCGGGGCCGTGGCTAACAGGACGTCCACGGTCGATGCCTTGCCGCTAAAAACTTGGCGCTAGATGAACCACAAACCCAGAATTAAGTTTAGAATAAATAAAACAAAACAAAACGCAGGCGGTACTTGTGTATTCGACGTGCCTCTTCCTTGTTATGGAAGCGGGGAAGGACGAAAGAGCGCCTCTCTCGCGTAATCGTGACAGATCGGTGATCGATCGACTACCCGTCGTCGGTCGGCGTCACATCTGCTCCCCACAGGTAACCCTCGTTCTACCCCTCGCATCGTGCACGCGACCATGAGCGAATCCTCCATCATTCCCTCAGGGCCAATTCGGCATCAGACGACATCCTACGAGGACGTAGAGGAAGGGGAGGAGGGGAGACCGTACTGCCCCTTCATGGACGTAGATTTGCGTCCGTGCGGCACAAGCTTTCGGACTCGGAGCCCCCCCCTCCTTTGATCTCACGAGAACATCCCGAGCTCGAACCCTCGACGCCAAGTGAATAACCAGGGTAGTCCGAGTCCAATAAACAACGCCCCTAGGGCCACGGACCGAATCGCGTACGGCACTTCTCACTCGTCCATGTTCTTGGCGAGCGTGCGCTCAGGAGCAAGCTTGTCCCTTAGGGCTGAGCCATCGCGGCACGGGATTCAGGAAGAGTCGAGGCGCAATGGCCTGTGCAGCTTCACCTGAAAAAAGCAAAGCCTCTTCCCCCTCTCCCCACTCTTGGGGAAAAGCTTCCTCTTCGAGATCATCTGGTTTTGTGGTCAGGTACTTCGTGTGTGATGCAACATAGCCGTGGAGGAATTGAATATCGGCCGGCATTGGCTAGGCTGGATGAGGCAAGGATCTTCGGCAGATTTAGGGTTGCGCCGTGGTTGCGGATACACTAACCTTGCTTCGTCGTCGCAGGTTGCGCCTAGATTGAAGGTATCGCGGCTGCCTAGTTCTAGTGTAGATGATGAAGACTCAATGGGTTACCTAGCATTCCCATTGTTTCAGTGTTTTCTCCTATTTCCGCGGTCTCCTCAACCGCCCGTCTGACACAATCGGTACCTGTTCAATCGTTCACTGAATCAATATTGGGATGTGTAGATAGGGTCGAGAGAACCCCGAACCACGTACTCACACTAATAAGCGGCGTTTGGTTTGCGGCGCCTTATCGGACTTTACAGTAATAATAAGTAGGTATTAGTGCCGCCTCTGCCACCTCATCCTCCAAGACTCGAGCAACATGAGTGCCAAGAGCGCGGCTATTCTTCGCGGGTAATTTTTCTATCGCCGTTAATCGCGGGGATAAGAGCCCAAAACGGGCAGAACGGTGTACAGTTTTCGCATGATGATGTCGCATAGGTAGAGCGCGAGTAAGCGTCAGTGTAGTGCAGATAGGGTCGCGGAGCAGAGTGATGTGAGGTATCCAGAAAGCATCGCGATCGAACTGCATACTGATCGACTGCTGCCGCCGTTTCCTCTGGTCTCCCTCTCTCCCCCGGTTCGTACCTGATTTAGTACGCTTCCGGCTTAGTTCCCGTGGATTTTCTTGGACCTTGGGATTCGAGCCTTGGGTTCTAATTAGTGTGATACCTATCATAGGCCCATACCTATGTATTACACTTACCAGTGTAAAAGTAGGTACATAGAAGAGTGTGGCGCAAGGAGGGGTATAGTATCCCACAGGATCAAGCTTTGAGAGCTGCTAATTAGGCATCGGCAATAAGAGATTTGAGCAAAACTCTGTCGATTTACGACGTATGTACCTCGGTGAGTAGGACCTCCAAGGCCTTCTAATAATTAGCAGAAAACCTGTTGAAGGTGGGACGCGACTCTCATGGTAATCAATGAGGGCGAAAGCGATTGATCGTGTATCTCGAAATAAACACCACGTGCGGGTGATCCCTCCTCGTGACCTAGCGCAGGTTACATAAGCAGCAGGGAGAACCTTAGCCTCCATCTTGGCCGAAAACTTCAGGATCTCCCGCTTGAAAACACGGTTGGCACGTGGAGAGATGTTTCTCCCGTTGGAGGCGTAGTGTAGTAAATGCGACGGTTTTTGACGGCGTCCTTGATGTTTTACGGTGTGAATCACGCCGATTCACGCCGTGTCCAATGTCTCCTGCCCCAAAGAAACAGCATCAACGACGCGAACAATGCCCTGTCTGTGCCACACAACCCACACACACGCACACACTCGGAGATCCTTCATGACAGCCCGATATTCTGTTCCAAGCTGACCGTACCCGCAAATCTGAGACATTACCTAATTATAGGTAGTAGGTAGGCAATACCTCCGGGCCCCGTAATGTTTGAGGTGTGAACTGCCGGTTTCCCGTTTTGAAACATGGCTGCGGACCTCCAACGTCTCTGTCAAACGTCGTGTTGTGTCGCGCTGGATATCAATAGGATGTGGGCCAAGGGCTGTGATGACGATGAGAATGTCTATCGTGTTTGCTTGCCCATAACTCGTAAGCCTAGAGACCGTAGGGGGAGCGCCCTTGGACTCAACCCCGTCTCCGTCAGTCTTATCGACAGCAGACCACATTCCACTTGAGATGGACTTGGGGTTTGGAAATAGATGAATAATGCCTAGGTCCCTGAAGAGTCGGGATAGCAGGCTACAACATATACACTTACTGTTCAATCCCTTTCATCCTCGTCTAGTCTAACTCGGTTAAACATCCCGGAATATTGGCGACCGCCTGCCTATATTAGAGTGCCGGTTGCCTATAAGCCCCTTGTTGTGTTGAGTATTGGAGAGATTTAGACAGCCGAGGATACGACCCGTACCTAGTCCTAACAACACTGAAGATATTAGGTTAGATAAGCCTCAAACTTATTTAAGCATACCAGGTAACGGATATGAATCTCTAATGATAGAAATGTCGTACCGCAGAAAAGAGCAATCCTAGGAAGACGAAAAGAGGTATGTGTTGTATTGGGGATGATTCTCCTCGTTCAAAGAAAGGGCGGGGAAATGAGCTAAAAGGTACGCGAAAGTCGCCCATTGTACCTTCCTGCGCCATCACAAACTTGAATTGCAGTATGACATCATATTAGTGTGGTTTTGCAGTGGACATTGAATGAGACTCAAGAAACTCATGCTCGAAGGAGAGTTTCCGATTTCCCCGCATGCTTATTAACATTATATGCTTATCTGACTCCAGTGTAAATCACTTTCCCGACGACAGGTTGCCCAGTTCCTAATGGGTGCGGTGTAGATAACACTATAGGTATATGGTTAGACGCACCTGCAGAGAAAGAGAATAGAGAAGGAAAATAAAAGGATGACATGGGCATGTGCCGGCATATTCAATCGAGTGCAATAGGAGTTGGAGGCTATTATCTGAGTTTCCATCTGGCCAAACTGATGCATTTCAAGACCAAATAAAAAGTGGAATAAAAAATGAACAGAAAATCGGCCGAACAAAAAATATTGCGAAAAGAATCGCGAAAAAAGAAAGGCTGCTACTCTTAGGCAACTAAGAGGCATCAGGAATTGAGCCCGATGCGGGGGTCGAACCTGCGGAAGTTAGTACTCTAAATTCTTATTGTAGGGTGTTTGAGGAGCCACTCACCCGCAACCTTGAGATTAAGAGTCTCACGCTCTACCGATTGAGCTAACCGGGCGGTATTGGTGACGGTCCGTAACGCAAAATCCGTTGTTGTGCCCGAGGTGGGGTTGCTGACGATAGCGGGGTTTCTGGCGGGGTTTCTGGCGGGCGAGGGGCAGATAAGCAGGGCAGCAGATCGATCAACCTGGAAGGTTCAATGAAACACCCCGCAACTTCTAACAACCGCGCAACCAAAGAAACGACCGACTGTATGGATTCTTAGTAATTCCTTGACCCTTCACATACCATCTACGCCTCATCTGAAATAGCCTAAAAGCTTGTCAAACTTTCTCCCGCCTGTGTTTCGCGTGTACGACTGTGCATATCCAAGTCACGATGCCTGTCGACTACAGCAAATGGGTGAGTAGAGGATCCATCCATCTGTCGAACGCAGCTAGCCAATGCTATGCGCCACAATCTCGCGGCTAACTAAGGCCTCCCTCTTTGAAGGACAATCTGGAGCTCAGTGATGACTCCGACATCGAGGTTCATCCAAATGTCGACAAGCGATCCTTCATTCGCGCCAAACAGAATCAGATCCACGCCGAGCGCCAACAGCGGAAGCTCCAGATTGAGACCCTCAAGTACGAACGTCAGATCAACGATGGATTGATAAAACGCATAACCGCACTCCTCACCGCCCTCAAGGCTAATGCCGCCGAGGCGGAGTCTAATCTTGCCGAGATGGCGTTTCGGGCCGTCATGGAATCCGCCGGCCGCCCCGAGGACGACAAGCCGCCTGCGCGGCCCGAGGGCGTCCATTCCCAAGTCGAGCAGCCCCCTAGCTACACTAAGATGATGGCCACTCTGCTCGACCAGGTCAACCAGACGCTCAACGAGAAGAACCCGGCGAATCGCTACACTGCCATGGTCGAGGAGATCGAGGACCACCTGAAAAAGGTACAAGACTTACAGCGGCAACTCTTGGCGAAGCTAGCGGAGCTGGAGAAGGAAGAGGGCCGTAAAATCACAAGTGAGGGCATTCATACGGGCTTCGATAGCTCCTATGTCGCAAAGTCCGCACCGTCAACATCTAAGTCGGCTGAGAAGAAGCCCGAGAGCAAGGTTGAGCTTCTGAACCCAAACTTCTCTGCGGACGAGCCTGAGGGTTCGACGTCCGCAGCGTCGGCCGACAAAGATGACAGCGACGATGAAGGCGATGACAGCGAGATTGAGGCTTCCGCTGATGGCCGTACGTTTGCAAATATCAAGGCCGCTGACTACAGAGAAAGCCACGCCTTCATCACCTCCCATCTTCATATCGTCTCCGAGAAGGAGACCGATGGTATCCTTGTCATGGCCTTTGACGCGCAACTAGAGAACAAGGACGATCTCGCGAGAAACTACGTACACCAGGGCCTGTTACTCCAGTACTGCCGCTCGCTAGGTCAGGATGGTGTTCCGCTCTTCTTTAAGCGCATCACCACAAAGGGCCACCAGGCTCAGGAGGTGTTCTACAAGGACGTGCAAGACACCTACTTCCGTATCAAGAACCGGGCAGCCGAGATCAACGCGCAGCGTGCGGAAAACAAGTCTGGGGATATGGAACAGATTCAGCTGCACGCTGTCCAGCCAGGCACCGAGATCAAGATCCAGATCCCGCCAGTAGTTGGCGAGGGCGAAGAGGGCAAACATGAGCGTGAAATTTTCGAAAGTTTCGCGCCGGACATGCAGAAGGCGCTCGAATCGGGAAGTCTGGACAAGGTTAATGAGGTGCTTGGTAAGATGAAAGTGCCCGAGGCCGAGGAGGTTGTTAATCTCTTGAGCGAGGTAAGATTAGAGATTTTCATGACTCTGTCGATCGCCATTTAGCGCGCTTTTGCTGATCTTCTTTGCAGGCGAATATCCTCACTTTGGAGGAACAGATCATAGACGCTACGACGGCCGAGGGGAGGCAAAGAGTCAAGGAATTGGAGGAACAGGCCACGACGGAGTCGTATGCGGATGATCCTGAGTAAATGAGAGGAGAGGAGACAAGTGCTGTCTGTATTAGGATATAGGTTTTATCTTCGCATTCATGGACTAGCCTCGGTCAGGATGATGAGGTCGACACATCATCTCCCAGCATTCTTTAGTTCGGTTGGTCCGGCACAATTGCGTTAGCTGGAGCGGGATGAGAACCGGACGCAAAGCAAGCTTGACTACCCGCGTAGTGATTCTCGTCCAGGGGGGCGGTTTCATTATGAACAGTTTCGTGATGGGGGATATCTAGGAGGTACGCAATTAGATGCTCCATATTTATTTTGAATGGGAAGCTCTACCCAGCACCCCAATTTCTTTAATCAGCACTTCCAAAGTGGCCAAAGCGGTGACGTCACTCTATTTACGACATGCACTCGTCTTGTAGCTCGAAGTACTTCGTCCGCAGCATCATACCTACAGACCTACCTAACTCTGTAGGCACCTACATACCACGCTGTCGTTTTAGTAATACACTAACCTTAGGTTACCTAGCTATATGAGTTCAATCGGCATGATTTTGAGGGAAAAGTGTGGTAAATTGTTACTCGTCGCATTTAATTGTAATTGGCTTGTGAATAGGCATGCGGATATACTGCCTAGGGGGACCGGGACTTGGAGCCGGCGCCGGCGCCAGCGGTTATCATCCCCAAAGCAAGACAACTTATCGTGAAAGTTATAAGTAGCAGCCGCCTTGCAGTAATCCTCTCATAAATGAGCACCGGGATGGGCCCTGTGTGTTCCTTGTTACGACGCCTTTCGGCCTGATACCCGGGCTCTCATGAATTCAAATCGCATCCTCAATTCAGACACCAGGAGTGTTCTAAACTGGCAATGCTACTTTGTGAGTACTTTTGCGCTTTTAGGGGTCAATGGCCAAAAATGTACCTAGGCACGTTCAGCCACATCCGCCCCGTAATAGTAAGCCGCGCCCTACTTTGGGGGTATTACTGGCTAAAGCAATTGGGGTGCTGGGTACGGACGTATCTAGAGCTTCCTTTGTGGATAAGTTATCGACACGGAATCTGTGGTGGTGTGGGTGTAACTATTGTGGCATAGTTAGTTCCATTATGTAATCGGACATGTCGATGCGGGATTACGTCCGCACTTCGTAGCCACCGCTTATTATCGATAAGATTTCCACACGGATGAGGTGGAGGCTTCGTATCTTCGTATTTCCCTCTCAATTTCTCCCCGACCAACCCGAGTCCCGAATGCTTGAGTCAGACAGTGGCCACGGCCCACGGCTAGACTAGGTATTGCCAATTGGCTGACCATTGGATGGCTATGGCCTACCTTACGGCCTTACCTGGCTAAAACTGGGAATAATTGGAGATAATCTCCCAGCCTTTTTTCACTTGTGCTTCTACCCTGTCCCCTTGCATTTCACAGACCAGGAATGAGGGGTGGTCAGCCTGTCAGGTCGAGTGTTTCCATAGTAAGACGGGACGCCGCAACGCTCTGGTTCGAATTCCTAGTGCATTGGTAACTTGGTATACCGGGCTGATCTGAGCTGATCTTCATCAAACGGATATGATCGCATATGGGAACGGGATACGTACCGGTACTAGGTATGTGTCCATGTGGACGACGCTGCGACACATCATGTCCCGGCTTATTCACTATTACCTAGAGTTCGCGATGGGTCCTTGTCGAGTGTTAAAACCTTAACTGTCGAGGTACTGTACCTTGATACTGCCACACTGGTCTGACGACCTTTTATATTTCGACTCTCGACTCTCTGAAGGCTGAAACAAGATAGATAGGCGGCAGTGAACGGTGAAAAATTGGCTGCCGACCAAAGCCTCAAGTCGGTAGAGACACACCGGGGAGATGCATGGTACGCGCGTTTTTGTTTACATGGTTTCTTCCCGGCCATGTCTGACGTTCTTAAGAAGAGGCGCAGTCACTGCGACTCCACCGCGACATGCCAGATCCGTACTGCCCTGGTATACCTAGGCACGGTACCTGTACAGATTGTATCTATCTACAATCGAGAACTCGAGAGTTATGTGTGTGTGTGTGTAGCTACCCCTGGGGCCCTAATACCGAACGGGGTTCGTCACCAGCGCGCCAGAAAGAGGCAGGGCATTACGACATCTCTTGAAATGAGTTCCCGTTAGAGCATTCCTATTAAAAGACGCTGCGTTGCTACATATAGGATTCGGGGTTTGGGGTATCTAGGTATCCATCCATCCAGCCATCCATCCATCTCTTCTTTTCTGTTTCTTTTTCGTTCCCCCTTCCTACTCGATAACCGAAGGATTTTCTTACTATACACAAAATCAATTAGGTATAAGCATCTAGGTACTCCTTCAAGATGGCACCGTCGTTACGCACATTTGCGGCGGCACTGGCGGCGTTCGCTAGTACGGCCTATTCGACACCACAAGCTGTTGGCGATGTCGCCCCAGCACTGGCAGGGACACCTGTCTCCGTCTCTACGATCCAAGCCGCGGCAACCCCGGCGTCGACGGCATCGGCAGCAGTAGCCTGCAACAACTCGCCCGACCTTTGCAATCAATCTTACGCGAACATCACGCACATGGGCGCCCATGACTCCTCTTTCCTCCGCGACGCCAGCACCCAGAACTCGGTGGCCGGAAACCAATTCTTCAACGCGACCGTGGCCCTGGACGCCGGCCTCCGGATGCTACAAGTACAGGTGCATAACCTAAACGACACCATCGAGATGTGCCATACACTATGCAGCCTGCTCGACGCGGGGCCACTGGAGAACTGGCTCGCCGACATCAAAGTCTGGATGGACGAGAACCCGAATGAGGTAGTGACACTCCTGATCGTCAACTCCGATGGGCAGGACGTCTCCGCTTTCGGGTCGGTGTTTGAGGCCTCGGGTATCGCCCAGTACGGCTTTGTGCCGTCTGGCAAGGGCTGGCCGACGCTCCAGTCGATGATCAGCGCCAACACGCGTCTGGTGACGTTCATAGCGTCCATCACGTCTAGCTCCTCCTTCCCTTACCTTCTCTCCGAGTTCGACTTTGTATTCGAGACCGCATTCGGTGTGACCTCACCGGACGGCTTCAACTGCACAAT